ACAGAAGCCTTTTGTGAAAATGGGGGGGTGCACTTTATTTTAAAAAAAAGACAATACAGGAAGAATAAATTAGATTAGAAGTACTAATGATTCCATGTGGGGAGATCAGAGGAGGAGCCAGAAAGGTGGGGAAATGACTTCTTAGACATAGCTTTTCATACATACTGACTTTTGAGCCATATCACTGTTAATTGTTCAAAAGATTATACAAAAAGTAAATCCAATGATTAATAACTTAAGCAAATGAACTGCTGTATCATATTAATGACACCACACAGAAAAGAGAATGTATTCAAGTAATACAAACATCTTAACTGCTCACCCACAGTGAGGTAATAACTAAGGACATGGTTACAAAACAGGTAATAACTAAGGACAAGGAGAACAGAAGCAAAGTTTTAGATAATTTAAAAACCACTAGTATTATAATCTGAAAACATTTTCAATGATTTACTCATGATTTAAACATGTTATTGCTAAAAGTAAACCATGCAAGAGCTAAGTGTGACAGCTATGTCTATAAACATACAAGAAAACTTTGGTTATCCTTGAAGAGAATGACAGCTGGGAATATTTAATGAGCTTCAAATTCCTAGAAGAAAGTAAGTACAAACGAACACAAAGTCAAAATGGACCAGTTTCTGTGGTCAGGGGCCTATACTATTTTGTCCCATGTGTGGACTTCAGGGTTCTGACACGGGGGATACTGTGCTGCTTCTGGTCTCTGCAAAGCCAGGATCCAGTAGCATTCTCGACATATCCTTCATTTTAATTTACCTACTCTCACCACTTACTTACTTCCACTTCACTTTTCTAGATGTGTTCCTAAAGTGGCCAAAAAAGAACCTTCTAACATTTTCAGAACAGGTAAATTGTTTGCAAAAGGAAACCATAGAGTTCAGAATATCCTCAGAAAAAAAATTTTAACCAAGTGTAGTTTTACTCCAGAAACAATTTGAAGTCTTGTTTCTCTGTGTGAATTTTAGAAACTGATTTAAGAGTCTAGAGAAACTAAGATGAATGGCCAAAGCATGCTAATAACACTTAATGCTTAGCTTAGACACTGTCTTTCCTAACACATTTAATACAACCACCTGATGACGTTATTGCAACTACTGTCTCATCTTCATTATGAAGAAACAAGCTCAAACACGTTAAGTAAGAATAAGCAACTTGTTCAAAATGATGAAACAGTAAATCAGCCTGAAATATGATCCCAATCTGATTCTAAAAAGCCACACTTACACCAAAGTGTGTAAGCTCCTTGAGACGAGCTGAGATCTATGGTCCTGCTGGCCTGGGAACTGCACATCTGAATCACCTCTACCCAAAACAAGGCCTCAGTGCAGTTGTTACAGGAGAGATTCCTCTAAATGCTGGTCAGAGAACAAATGTAAAACAATATTCAAATGATAAAACAAGAGCCTACAATTTTTTCTACAGAAATATATAAACATTCAAAAACAAGTTATATTTTTCTATTTACCTAGCAGATAAAGATACCTTACTTTAAATCAAAATACAAAATTAAAGAAACTGATGAAGTGGCTAAATAAATCTAGAAAAGTCAACAACTTTTATCAGTGAAAATTCCATCAGTTCTACAGTGAGAAAGCCCATATTCTATTCAGAATGATAAAAAACAGCTAAATGTTTCATTTAGTAAAGGTATAGGACTTATTCAATAAAGGTATAAGCCTAAGTAAACAAAATTATGCACTATTAAAAAACAAAATTTGAGTACAAAATGATACCCAATGTATCCTACTGGAAAGGCTTGCTGTTACCTGTTACCTTGTGCTAGACACAATTCCAAGTTACTAAGAAAAACTAATGAAAGAAAACACCTCTTAAAAGAGGTTAAGTAGTCTGTATGAATAATGTTAAGTGTTAGGATATCCAGAAAATAGAATGTATTTTTTTCAAATTGTAAGTAAAAGAGGATAATTTTTTTTAAGTAACAACTTTAGTTTACAAAAAAAAAAAAAAATTAAAAAAATAAATGTAAGACACACATGGATTTGTATCTGTACCATATAGAGAGCTCAGAAAACTGATAATCCACACAAAACTCAAAGAGTATGAATAATCACTTCAAAAAAGTTAACTCCAGGTCTGGGGAAAATAGCTCAGTGGCTAAGTGCCTGTCTGGCAAGCACAAGGTCCCAAGTTTGATCTTCAGTACCACAAAAAAAAGTAACTCCCAATGTACTACAAACCTCAAAAACTACAAATGATACCTCACAAATTATAAATAGCAAAATAGCAAAAACTGAAATAGGAAAGCCTCTTCAGGTTGGTGGGGGAAATGATACTGTTAGTCAAACAACCGTTACAAACTTTAGGCAAACTATCATAAAAATATTTTTAATTTTTGGAGACAGGGTCTCATCATGTAGCCCAGGCTATTCTTAAACATTGTAGCCTAGGCTGGCCTTGAAGTTGGGGTGATCGGTTGCCTCCTGTCTCAGCCTCTCAGGCATGTACCATCACACCCAGCTCAAAACTTAAAAATATATAATTTTCCTTGACTTATGGATCCAACTTTTACATACCTAGTTACTTAAGTAACTTAAGCTATCTAACATGGTACAAGCTCACCTATTATGGTACTATCTGCAATGACAAGGAAAATGGAAACAAGATGTCAATTACTAAAGAAATGATTGAACAAACTAGTATACCCTTATCATAGAATATTAACAATGTATTATTGATAGAAATATTATATATATATATTAAGTGGCCTTGCAAGGAGTTTCACAATGTATTGTTAGGCAAGAAAAAAATATGCAGACATAAATATACAGATACTATTTTATAAAACATTTAAAAATATGAACAAAATTACAACTATGAATACACACACACACACACACACACATCTATATGCATCTGATTACAGAGGCAATGCAGAGAGGGTACATAAAGAAGTTGTGACACTAAAATTTCAGGCAAGGAGAAAGGATGGAGGAATGTCTGCATGACAAAGAAATTTAAACAACAGGACACATCCCCTACAAAGTGAGGAGTCTGAAGTACTATGTTTAAACTCACAAATTCCTATAGATTCATAAAGTAGTAAGTGGAAGTAATCCTACAGAAATGTTAGTAAAACATTATGTACCTATACTGTATATTTAGTTCTCCCCCCATCTGGGTTAAAATTGCTAAAACAAAAGATCAATTTGTTGGTTTACGTCAGTGAAGACCCAGAACCGTACCTCACTTCAGGTCTACTTTGATCCAGAGGTTCCAGACTGCATTGGGTGCTCCAATTTAGATCTCTTTTTCTTGGTACTACCTCAGGCTGATTTATTAGAAAAACTAGCTTCAGCAAGAAATAGTACTCCTCACAGCATACTCTATGGAAGGTGGTTTTCCATACCTTAAAAAGCCTTAGCCAATACCTGTTTGTATCTCAGTGGCCCACTCTGGGTCAGCTGACCTTCCCTGACCATTTTTCTTGAGGGAGGGAAGACTGCAGGAGGTAACTGGGGCAATGCAGATTGCTGAGGGCAGAACAATGCCACCTACAGCATATGCATGTTCTGTTGCAGGGATGTGGGAAGGATTATCAGAAGGAAAATTGGGCAGTGTGCTACTGGGGACAGAAGAAAGTAGAGGCTAAGGGGTATTCATAATGAACACAAACAGGGATTACAGTAATACCAATGTACAATAAAATATTACAAGGGTTCAATTTCACTAGTAATCAACAGTCCATTGCTCATCAGTTTAAAGAAAAACAACCTGCATACAAAGGAAACAGTAAGGAAGCAAGATTGAGTGTAAGCACTCACCGCTGCTCAAAGTGTGTGCATTAAATAGCCTCAACTAAGTGTCATTTAAGCAAACTTGATAACATGAGTAGAAATATTACTGATTCTTAAGTATGAAACAAGCTTACAACAAAAACAGTGAAATCTTAAAGCCCCAGGTTAAATACCTGTTTTATGCACCCCTACCCACCAGATATTCCAATTAAAAAAAAAAAAAAAAAAAGACATATTTCTCTCAAAACATGAGACAAAACCTAGGGTAAAGTTTATAGTTGATTATTCACAGCACATTTGAAGTTGAATCTACTATGTGCCTTCAGTTAACTGATTAAATACTTTTATTCTACTATCCAACTAAAGATGTGGACAAAATACTTTGTAAGTATTATTAGTGAAATGGACCACAAGAGAAGATCTCTAATCTCAAATAACTACAGGATGGCTGTTCCAAGTCACTTGTAAAATACACAAAAGTTATATGTGCTTACAAATACTATGGCTCTAAGTACCAATGTTAAGACTGTCCTTGAACATTAGGACCACTATGACGCTCAAAGGCATGTGTATTTCTTGAGTATGCAAACTACAATGAATCAATATCAACCAGAAATGTCAAAGTATGAGCTTGTACATGGCATTAAAATACTAGAAGTAAAGACATAGTCCCCCAGATTTCTATTGCAAGTAGACTGTTTTCACACTTTTTTCATGTCTGAAAACAATGAAAGATGTTGCAAGTCTCCTCACTGTGTACCCTTTACTATGAAAGGAGTTTGCATTTCCTCTCAGAAGGCAAAAGAACTGAGAGAACCATCCATGCTACTAAACACTTAGATCAAAAGATTTTTGCAATAGGACTCATCCACAGGACTCATCCTATAATCAATATATCTGAAATACTTCTCTTACATGTAAGAAGAGATTGATAAAAGAAATGAGAACTTGCTATGTTGAAACAACAAGCTAGTAATTAGCTCTATTAAAGAGAACAATGATTAAGAGTATGTCTTTAGGAATGCAAATGCTTTGACCTCAAATTAATGATTAGTTACATAACATTGGAGAAGTTACCTAAAACACCTGTTTCATTATCCTGTTCATTAAAATTAGCATACTAAAAGTACCAATGTCTTAAAGTTACCATAATACCTAATGTGGTAATTCAGTACTTATATGGTACCTAGCACCAAGGGAGCTTTCAATAAATAATAACCAGTATCCATAAAGTTGAAAAATTATTTATTTAGGTCTACATTGATCTTCAAATACCATATTCTAATTGTTCTACTGGTACCATTTACCAAAGTCTCTTTATAACTATCTGAAATCTGAAAACAATTAAAAACCTCTTAATGATGTAGGCAGTACCTGATTTTAGATATTACAACTATCTTGCTTACAAAGCTTCCACTAGAAAATATTAAACTTCCTTCAACAGAACAGTAAAATGAAAGACACAAAAAGAATCTGAGTAACACTATATTCAAATGTTCCTCAGATGATATGAGTAACAGGAAAATGTATAGTACTTCTTTGAACAAATGCATGTAGGGAAAGCAAGCTGAATTTATTCAAAATTATAAAAGTTTACAATAAAAACCAAAGTTCTTAAAATTATATGCAAGTGATCTGTATGTATCCAAATCTTATCAAATCAGGACAACAATTTGATTTACAGAAAGATAGCCAAAGGAGCAAAAAGAAATAGAAAAGTTTTGTCAAAACAACTTATATAAATACACAAATCTAATGTTTAATGCAACAGGACCAAAATCTAACCATAAGTTAGCTATCTTTCGGTAACAATGCAGAATTAATACACAATGGATAAAGTCTTTTATATTGCATAAAACCTTTTATGTTAACATACACTAACAAGTGTAAACCAAACAATGTGAGGTTTTCATATGTGAAGATGTGTACTTCATAAAGAAACACACTTGAAGTAAAATCATTAACACACATACTGCAAAGGTCCACAAAAAATGTTTATCATTTGCAAGTACACAGAGAATAAAGTGCCAGGAAATTAATATCAGAAATCTTACAGGTATTATAGTGACCAGCTTTGAAGGATCAATTACTTACAAACAGACTTAAAATAGCTGAGATCAAAGTAAATTAAATAACAAGAATGAAAAAACACACATATACAATAGCAAGAAGTTAGAAAACAATACTATAGCAAAGATTTATTAGTGTGTACAAGTTAGCTTTGAGAAACTAATGATTAGCTTACATTAGTTACAGTAAATTATCAACATTCTCATTGCAACAGTATTTTCCCACACGTTAGAATCTGGAAGGAATATGCCTTTCTCACATTGCCATTTAGTGTTTTTGTCCTCCTCAAAACACAGAAATAGGTTTCCGAATATCAACAAGCCATTTATGAAAGCCATGAGATACAGATATCCATAAACATTACACAAGTTACAATGAAGGTAACTGGACAAACACAACCAACATTTATGAAAAAAAAGTTGGTTGTTGAAGTAGTTAAGTACTAAAAGAGTTTTAATCAATACTATTCATGTCCTGAAACCAAAATGAGGAAAAATTTTATTGCCATTCTACCAAACACCATGTATGTAACTAAAAACACTGTGCAAAGAAACATGAATTCAATGTACTTATCACAGGATTGAAACTACAAAAAGCAACCCAATCAATGAGATAAGTTAAAAAGTAATATCAAATTTCTTTAATATACCAACAGTATTTTGGAAGCATCATCCGAATAAATAGAAATTTAATTATGAAATGGCCTGAGTTATGGTCGGTACTGAGATTCTGCTTAGTATTAAAAGAAAATGTCAGACATTCTAGGAAAGATGTGAAGTCATGCTCTTCTTACTCCTCAAAGGAAATCTTGACAGGTTTGGTGGTATCTGTTTACCTCCCAGCGGTTCTAAGAGTTCTACATACCAAGTAATTCAGTAATTAACAGAAGTTAAGCAAAAGAGACCAAAAGCAGACTTTGTAGTAACATGTACTAGAGAATGGTGTTTTAAAAAAATTACATGATAAATGTAAATCATAAAATCAAATGTACTCATAAAAGCACACTTATTTTATGTTACATAAAAAAACTGTAGACTACAAACTGGGCATGCTTACCATAACATTTTACCTGGGAAAGCCGATGAGTGGCATTTCTCGCAAATATTTACTGCCATGATAAAAAACAATTATGTGCAAACTGTAAGGTCCCTAAAATAGCAGTTAAGAGTTGTTTATGTATAGAAAGATGTCACTATCTCATCAAATGCGCAAGAAATGGAACTTCCCAGAGTTTATAACACAGAACAATAACCACCACAGGCTCCTCCTCCGTGGCTTTCTTCCATGTGTGACAGTTTGACTCCTTTATTTTGATTCTCACTTTCCCACAGTCCAGGTGTCTGAATGATCTTTTCAACAAGTTCCTCAAAGGCACACTGTACACCATCACAAGTTTTTGCACTTGCCTCTGAAATTCAAGGACAAAGATCAAGGAATATTCCTTTTTAGCCATATTCCCATGTTTTCCTGAGAAACTTTTCTGGCATAAATATCAGCCTATGATTACTGAGAGCAATAGCATTAATTTCTTCTCACAAGTTCAATATTAATGAATTCCTCAACTCTTAAAATTGAGCTATTTAAATTTCACCCATTAAAATATCACTACACAAGCCCAACATTTTGGAATAGAATTGTAACTTGCAAAGCCCTATGCAAGTATTTTGAAGTCACTTTCTTAGGTTTTAACTTTTAAAATGAGACCCCAGCTGAAATATAGCTCAGCGGCACACTACTTGCCTGGCAAGTACAAGGTTCTGAGTTCAATTGCCAGTACCAAAAAAAAAAAAAAAAAAAGGCCCCAAAACAATTTCATTTTAAACCAATGAAATTCACTTTCCAAGTTAAATAATTAACCTGATCATTCTGTGTGTGCAAATATCTGGATAAAAAGAATACAACAGTGATCCTATTTTCCTTCTTTTTAAAAAAATATATTTGGTACAGGGTCTCACTACAAAGCTTTGACTTGTAATGGTCCTCCTATTTCCAGTATGCCTAGCACATGCACCACCATGCTTGGTCTCAGGGCTGGGGGTGGGGCCCGCATGGCACATGGTGCTAGGAATCACGTTCCGATCTCTGAGCTTCCCTAAGCATGCGCTTAGTCCACTGAGCTATCTCACCAGCCCCCATTTTCTTTTTGCTAATGAAACTCAAGTTGACACTGAACACAGCTTCCTAACCCTCCATTTCTCTAGTGTCTTTCTCACTGCCTCTGGTGACTTAATTTTAGTCTTTTCTCACTACTCCCTCTATCTCAGCTGATGATCTGCCCTTTTTGAGGAGGTAATTGCACTAAGAATTGAACCCAGGGCTTCTGTACTATATCTCAAGACATTTTTTATATTTTAAGACAGGATCTCAGAAGAGAGAGAACAGAGGGAGAGAGAGAAGAAAAGGGAAAGGAAGGAGAGGATAAAAGAGGAGAGAGAGACTAGAGAACCAGTCTCTTGCTCCACATTCCCCACAAATGGATTTGCAGATCATATCACTGCTGCTTCCACCACACTTGGAATAAAGCAACCTCTTTACCCATTCTGATTAGGTCTTAACACCCTCTGAAGCCTCATCTCCCCCACCACCAGCCTTTTCTCCCTTACAAGTGCTATGCTCCAGCACATAAGTTATTTTCTCTTCCTTAAATACTAATCTAGTTCCCATCTCATGAAATGTATGTGCTATTCCCTTGCCCTGAAAAGGTCTCCTTTAAGAACCTTAGGGGGCTGGAGAGATGGCTCAGTGGAATAAGCGCTTCCCTGGCAAGTGCAATGATCTGAGTTCAATCCCTGGTTCCGCAAAAAAAAAAAAAAAAAAAAAGAACCTTAAAGAACTTTCCATCCTTGGCTCCTGTCCAGTGACTCTCTTGCCTTACAATATTTTCTTCCCTCCATAGAACTACTTGCTTTTAATAAACTGTATTTTAGATCTTTGATAAGGCCTAAAGACTCATAAACTTTAAAAGCTTCCCCAGTGATTCTGATATAACTATAACTAGGTCACTTTCCTAGATGAAGGGCTGGCAAACTTTTTCTGTAAAGGCCATCTAACAACTAACAAATATTTTAGGCTTTGTGGAACAAATGGTCTCCATGGTAAGTACTAGCAATATGTAAATGAGTAGATACATCTGAGTTTAAATGAATGGGAAGCCAGATTTGACCTAAGCTGCAGTCTGCCAATCCCCATTCTAATGTCTTCATCCAATGTTAACTTACATATAACAAACCACATGAAGATCTTTTCAAAACTTCAAAGAAAATGTAGGGCAGAGCATTTTCAACAAACCAAGTGGGGCTGATCCTGGCATAGCTTTACCACCAGGTACCAAGTTTACCAAATGCCATCTATTCTTCAAGGAATGAGTCAACTGTGTTCTACATGCTTTCATGTAACACAATCCTACTTTTACAGGAAGAAAAAGATCTCACTTTATAGTTAGATTTTATACCACAAGAAAACGAAATGAACAAATGTATTTCATGCTTCATAAAGCATAATCAAAATATATGATGAATGTTTAAGTTTTAAAATGTTTTACAGTGAGAAACACATTGTCATTAATCCCCCTCAAAATATCCCTACTCGTTTTGAACACACTTCTTCTGTAATTCTTGTCACTTTTGGAAGCTGTTCTGGGTGTCTTCTTTGAGGACTTCAAAAGTGAATGTCTTTATGGGGTAGGGTCGCAAGCAAAGTGACTGCTACTGCTGAGTGCCATCCAGAGGAAGGGCAGATTCCTAAAAACATGATGGCATATCTCCAGCCAGCCGCCTCAAATCTGGCATGCAATTTCTGGTTCTTCCTCAAAAACCATGAAAAGTAAATATATTAAACCAACTCACAATATCAAGGCAGCCACAAATGTGCAACTTAACACGTGAAAGAGGATGCCAGAACTGCTTCAGAAAATAGCAAGGACAAAAAGACCAGTTTGCCGGAAGTGATAAGGAGTATATCAAGGGTAAAGACAATGTGTCTTTTACTGGAATACATTTTTTAAACATGTACCCCATCTTTAAATCACCACTTATAAATTTAGCAAAATTTTCTTTTCAAAAATTTATGTTAAGGTAGGTGTGGTGGCGCACACCTGTAATCCCAGAACTTGAGAGGCTGAGGCAGGAGGACTGTCATGAATTTGAGACCAGACCTACACAAGTGAGTTCAAGGCCAGCCCGTACTACAGGGCGAGACCTTGTCTCAAAAAAAAAAAAAAAAAAAATCTTTACTAATAATGAAAGGACAAACATTCATTTATATATTTACCTATAAATAACATGGAATGCTTTCGTGCGAATTTCAGGCCTTCATTTCTATCAACTTCACGATTTTCCTAAAAGATAAACACAACAATTAAGAGAAACTACCAAAATACAAAACAAAAATTCCAAGTGTCTGCCTTCTTACCTTATCAATTTTATTTCCAACTAGCATATTTACTATGTCATTTCTTGTACAGTATGTTTCCAATTCATTTAACCAATTATCCAGTTTTACAAAAGTGTCTCTCCTTGTGACATCATAAACTGAAATAAAAGCAGTCATTTATTAGGTAAGCATTAAAAACAAGAAGCAGTAACATTCTATTTCTTACACGTAGCTGGGAGCTAGCACTACTATTGCCAAGTGTTTTTCATTAAGCCTTCAATGTTAACAATGACTATCCTGATCAACACGGAAGAAACAAGGGATTCACAAGACATACATAGCACATTTTAATTTCACTATTACCTCTTGCAATAGAAACCAAAGTATATGCTGTGTTTGATACCTGAAAATCAATCTGACCAAAACATTTTATTACTGTTCATAATAATTAAAAAGGTCTAATAAATGAGTCCTTAGACCCAAATCTTGATAAAACATTTTTATATATAAACTTAAACATACATGACTCTCATAATCTGTTTTCTTGTTTTTTGTTTTGTGGTACCGGGGATTGAACTCAGGACCCGCAAGCGTTTATTCTACTGAGCTATCTCCCCAGCCCTTAATCTGTTTTTTGACAAGGACCAGAATTTACCTTTTTGATTATAGTATAGTTAGTGAATGGGATCCTGACCACCTCCTCTATTATTTCTTTCATCTTATATAATCTTACACAGAAATTTATTAATTTGTTTTCTAAATGTAAACAAAAATCACAACATACATTACTAAGCCATGATCTAAAGAAATTCTCTATACAAGCAAGCAGTATTTTTAAACAATGTTACGGTTTGTGTCTGGATGTTCCCCCAAAGCCTCATGCAATTATGGGGGCTTTGCAGAGGTGGATGAATCTAGTTTGTGATGCATTCATGGACCAATGCTGGGATTAAGAGTGTGAGTGCTAGCCCCACCCTCAGGTGGGTACCCTGCATACAATACAAGGGACAGAGAGAGGCTTGTCCCTCTCTTGCTGCTTTTGTTGTATTCCGCTGCCATGAACTGCTGCCCCTCTACCACGCCACCCTGTCTAGGAGTCAGGATTACTATGGCTTGTGGATTGAACCCCTCTACAAATTGTGAGCTAAATTAACTTTTCCTCCTTTTAACTTTGGGTGTTGGGTATTTTGTCTCAGCAATGAGAAATGTAACTAAGACAACAGTTTTCCAGGAATATTTAGCTAAATACTTCTCCCTAATATACTGCATGCCCATCTGCCGTTTTCAGTTCTGTTTGGCTATGAGTCAAGTGTTAAGTGCTTGCTTGCTTTATTAATATTTTATTTTATTTTGAGGTAAAGTCTCACTGTGAAGTTTAGGCTGACCTCTGACGGCAATCCTCCTGTTTCAGCATCCCTAATGCTGAGATTATAGGCACACATCTGTTTTCTCTCAATTATATAAATATAATTGATAGAATAGAGTCTACCATGCAATAAGTATTCTTCCTTTATAGACTGAAACCAATATCAATTCACTAATGTATGCAGAACAGTTTGGGGTAATAATCTAAGACAGACCAACCAATTTACGTGGGTACATTTTCAGTTATATCCTCATTAACATGTACTTTGAATAAAAGAATGTAGTTTTTGTCTTTTTTTTTTTTTTTTTGTGGCCAGCTCATCCCACCCTGGGCTGGTGCAGCATGTGGTGCTGGGGATCGAACCATAGTCCCTGCACACTTGTCTAAGCTTGCCTAAGCAGACACATTACACCACTGAGCTATCTCGCCAGCCAGCTCAAAGAATGTACTTCTAACTTTTTTTAATTGTGAAGCAAAGGACTGAACAAAATTTTAAAAGCTTTAGAATCTATGAATGATAAATGAACTAAATGTAACTACAACTTATATAAAAGACCCCTAAAAAAAAAGGTGTAAAAAAAAACTATCTTTCCTGGACTAGGAAAAAAGATCCCAATAAATGATATCTTAAAGTATATTTAAGTAAAAACTTACCTAATATAACACCCTGTGCACCTCTATAATAGCTGGGAGTTAATGTTCGAAATCTCTCTTGACCAGCAGTATCCTAGAAGGGACAATTATTTTTCAAAATAAAGTATAAATAATAGATCTAGAAAGCTCAACCACATCATTAAGAATAGTATTAAGGCACAAACTCATTAAACAGCTGGAATTTAAGTAAGATGTATTATCTGACAAATAAAATTAATACTGACAAATAAAATTAATACTGACTCAGCTTTAGAAAAATGCAATTATTAAGGTTTTCTGGCATTCAGAATGAATACTTTTATCACATGTGAAACTTCATTGAAAGCCATGGTTCTCTTGCTGCACAACTAGATGGCTCAGTAGAATAAGCGCTTCCGTGGCAAGTACAAGAGCCTGAGTTTAATCCCCAGTTCCAAAAACAAGCATCTTCTTGCTGCACAGCTAAATTTCCTGGGCATCCCCCAAGACTTTGATGTAATAACATAAATTGTTGTAAGAAGGAGAATCTTTTTTTCCATAATTTTATTGAGAAACAAAGAGCAATGAGACAGTTTCAAACCAAATTGGTAGGACAGTTTCAATAATTAACATAAAAAATAATAATAATTAACACATTGCATACATTCTTCCTAGTGGTTAACTGCTGTACAAGATGTGAACTTGATATCCTACGTACAAACACCATTAGAACAAATCCCTGTATTCATTACAAGCATGTAACTATATATCTATCCTAACTACTTTGAATACACAGATACAATGGACATTCATTTGTATCCCTTTTTTGTTAAGTTCCATCATTTAAATATTATAGGTGTGTAAACTCAGCAAAATATTCTAAAAGAGTTCAGTAGTCCATAATAGTATTGGGTCTTCCACTTCACAAAATGGCAGGAGGTTTTTTTTTTTTTTTGGCTGGCTGAGAATGCCTTCAAGGCATGTTCGGCTGGCTGGAGTTGTGGGGATCGAACCATAGCAACCTGAAGCTGACTGCATTGTTGAAGCAGCCACTTAAACAACTGAGCTAAGGTGCAGGCCCCAGAATGAGAATTTTTAAAAATCTTTCCATGTTACTCTAATGCTGAAATTAAAGCTGAGAACCATAGATTTAAAGAGAAACATACACAGGTATCTTTTTTTTTTTTTTCCAGAACCAGGGATTGAACTCAGGCCCTTGCGCTTGCCAGGGAAATGCTTATTCCACTGAGCCATCTCCCTGGCCCCTATACACAGGTATCTTATTTCAGGTAAAGAATTTTTAAGTTGAGTTTGTCTAAGGTTTCTACAGATCTGTTTTTAGGAAAATGCATGATACCAAACCATTCCTTATTCTTATTACCTGTTTTTTACTTATATTACAGATCATAAACTACAAGAGATGTACTACATTAGAAAGAAATGTAAGTTTTGTAAGAGAAGAAAGATCTCATGAAAAGAGATCTCATTTGTTATATGACCAGTTTAAATCTGGTGCCAAGAGCAATTCTTGCCATATGATAGTTGCTCAAAACCCGACAGGCGAAAAGATGAACTAAATTAACAAGTCCACACACTCCCAGGCCTGTTTTCTTCTCTCCTTTGTACCACCACCCTTGGATTGTGGCTTCAAAGTACCTAAGATAATACAAAGCTGCAGTTGGTGAACTGTCACCTCAGCCTACCACTATTTAATAATATTTTATTAAAGTTTGAGACACAGCCAGGCCCACACATTTACATGTTACTACATGTCTTGGTGTGGGGTGGGGATATTTACTATGTGGCTCTAAAGTTTGCAATGCTGGACATGGTGGCCCATATCTGTAATCCCAGCACTCAGGTGGCTAAGGCAGGAGGATCACCTGAGCTGCACAGTGAGTTCAGGCCCAGCCTGAACTATACAGTGAGACTGTCTCAAAGAAAAAGAAAGAAAAATGATTGAAACACTGGCTGATGCAAAGCAACCTGCAAAAGAGTAAAGACGTGTATCAAACCATAACTTAGTTATGGGTGCCACTTTCCCACTGTGATAAATTCAAGTTTTGCAACAGAACAAGCAGAAAAAGGTATAAACTCAGGAAGTGTATCAGACTGGAGGTGGCTTCAGCAATAGAATGTCTTCGGCTGGCTGAGGGACAGATATAAGACAACAGAGGATTTGAAGAAATTTAGTCTTAAAAACTTTATAGTAGTCAATCACTTTGAACATTGTCTATTCTTCCACAGATGAACTTATATAAAGGTAGAATCTGAACTCTTCAGAAGTGTTCTTTTCTCATTTAAAAAAATCTTTTAAAATATGTAATTTTACATTTTTTTAGTACATAATGACCATACTCATTATGGGAGATGGGTTACATGTATATAGCACTTCCCTAAATCTTTGGACCCCCACCCCTCCTCTCCCTCCAACCCTTCTTCCCTTCCACATTTACCAAAGTTCTATCTGTATTTTTCTTTCATTTCTTTAAATTCTTTTCTCTCCGTTCCTCTCACTCCATGTATTCCTTCTCTTCCCATCTGAACAAGTTCTTCCTACTTCTTAATATCTCTCTCCCATTCTGCTATGTATTTATACAATAGTTTGGGTGTAATAAATGCAGAATGTTTTTGCTTCCAGATTCTCATCACTATAGAAATTAATTTTCTTTATTGCCATCATAAGTATCACAATTAAAATTAAACTTTCTTAACAGATAAATGTATGAGATACAAAAGATTTCTCTCTTTACAAAAATGTTCTTGGGCCCAAAGTTTCTTACAAAACCTGCCTCTGATATTAAAATTATACAATTTACTATTTACCCCAAGCTTTCCAGAACAACAAAATGAAGTTATGTAATGACTTATCATCTAAACCAATTATAATTTAAATGACACAGGTTGGTTTTTTTTTTTTTTTTTTTTTGTATTTTAGGAAGGGTCTACAGGATATTCAGGGTCTCACTATTAGTTTGAACTCATAGCGATCCGCCTGTTCACAGACTCCCAAGAGCTGGGATTACAGGCGCGCCACCATGCCCAGTCGAATTGCCATCTCAGCACTCCCTCAGGGCACAGCCAACAAGGCAGGCCTGGAGAGTGAACCTCTAGCCCCTGTGCCTGCTTGCAGGCGCTTTAATCCGCTGAGCTATTTGGTTGGCCCTGATGTTTTGATAATAATGATTAATAAAATCCCATATGGATTTTCAGGAATCTTTATTGATCACTATGAGGGAAGGAGATTTGTCTATATGTTTATATACAGGATAGTCTGGATAATTGTATTGCTGATTTTCACTAGTCTATTCAAAGGAACAGCTCATGTTTAAATTTCTTTTTAATTTTTCTGACAAATTTTGCATGATTATATCTGGTAATCTCAACAACTAATCCAAAGACAACAATATGCAATGCAGTAACTTTTTGAATTATCTTTTTATTAAACAAAATTCTGTACTGTTTCTAATTGTTTTTCTTTTACTATTTTAAAAAATCTTTCAAACTTATTTAATCACAATAACTCTGTGCTATAATTTCTTCAAGTCAGAGACTGTGATGCCCTCTACCTTGCCTTTGATGCCCAGAACTGCTTTTGCTATTTTACGTCATTTTTGAGTCCAAATAAATTCTAGCAATGTTTTCTCTAGTTCTGCGAGATATGCTAATAGTATTTTGATTGGAAATGCATTATAGTATAACAATTTGGGGAGTATAGCCATTTTTACTATGTTGATTCTTCCCACTCAAGAGCAAGAGCTATCATAATTTTTTTGATATCCTCTTTGATCTCCTTTTTCAGGGCACTATAATTTTCAGTGTAAAGCTATTCTACTTCTGTTTGATTGATTCCTAAGTATTTCATTTTTATTCAATATTTTTATGAAAGGCATAGTTAACCTAATTTATCTCTCAATAAGTCTGTTACTTGTGGACAGGAACATTATTGATTTCTGAGTGTTGACTTTGTATCCAGCTATGTGACTGAATTTAGTTATTAGATCTAGCAATCTTCTAAAAAAGAACAATCAATCTCAATGCTTGTATGAGGAAAGACATCATAAAGATTAGAGCAGATATTAATGCAATTGAGACCAAAAAACACAAAAAGAATCAATGAAAAGTTGATTCTTTGAAAGACTAAATCACATTGATAAGCTCTTAGCCAGCCTTATTTTAAAAATGGAAAAAGACTCAAATCCATTCAATTAGGAATGAAAAGGAGGGGTCAGGGAGATGGCTTAGTGGAATAAGCGCTTCCCTGGCAAGTGCAAGGGCCTGAGTTTAATCCCCGGTTCCACAAAAAAAAAAAAAAAAAAAAGGAATGAAAAAGGTAAAGTCACAACAGATCTTGCAGAAATATAGAAGGTTATTAATACCTATTTTAAGAACTTTTAATCAGATGGAAAACACAGAAGAAATGGAGCTATTCCTGGATACATATGAACTACCAAAGCTAATTCAAGAAGACATAAAAATTCCAAACAAAAAACCCTAGTATCAGTCAATGAAATTTAGGATGTAATGAAAAACCTATCAACAAAGAAAAGCTCAGGTTCTGAGGGATTCACTGCTGAATTCTGTAAGAAATTTAGAGAAGATCTAATGCCATTACTCTCCAAAGTTTTTAATGAAACTGAAAGGGAAACAAGACTCCCAAAGTGATCCTAAAACCTGTCTTAGTTACTCTTCTCTCATTGCTGGGACAAATACCTGACATTCAAATTGAAGGAATGAAAGGTTTATTTAGCTCACAGTTACTGGAGGTTTCAGTCCATATTCAGCTGGGTCCAAGGCAGAGCAGCACATAGCAGAAAGCAACCTTTCATGGTGGCAGCAAAGAACTAAGAGCAAAAGGGGAGGGGTAGCAGCAGCTCAAGCAGCTAGCTTCTCTTCCCTTACATGGTAATGCAAATTACCTACCCCAGGCCAGGTGCAGCATCCACACCAACAAAAATCAATCACAAAGTCCAGAAGCTGCCCCAAGACTTCATGAGGCTTTGAGGGGACACCTAAGACACAAACCATAACAATACCAAAACCAGAGAAGGGTCCACCCAAGAAAGAGAACTGCAGGCCAATCTGAGTAAAATAAATGCAAAACCCTCAATAAGA